CTGCAGCACCACGTGATTGCAAAAAACCCTTTGAGACAGGGCTTGACGCACACACACACTTGAGAAGGTTGCTCCGTTCTTCAGTCGGTCCGCGGTGAGCATTAGCCCTTTAAGATTACTGCAGGTTAGACCTTGACTGAAAAAATGCTGGGTCCGAGCAACAGTATTGTTGAACAGTGAAATGATTAAAACAATTCTAAAATGGCAGGTACGTCGATTTGGCGTCCCAAATCGATTTCACAGACCAATGCAAGTGTCTTTGTTAGTGCCGGACTTGCATGGTCCCTGGCACCCCCTGCTGGTAAGCTGTACAAGTGGCTTGACAAGAGTAGTAGGGATAGCTAGTATAGGGCCCTTGGAAACAGGGTTGGACACACACAGAAAGCCGAAACCGGCGCAGGTAGGTCATGTAAAGTCGAATAAATACATGAAAGAATAAATAAACAGCTGTCAGCTGAAAGTCTCGCTCTTTTTGATCGTGGCCGCAGCGCCGCGGCGCAATGTTCGTATGAATGACCTTTTGTCATATAGAGCTGCGTCAACTGTTGTGATGTGGTTGTGATCAGGTGCTGGGGGTATGTGTATTGACGTAGTGTATGATGTCGTGATTGTAGGCCTGAAAGCCTTAATATGTGGCTTCCTGCGGACTGTGGATCGCGAATCTGCCGTGGGTGTGTGGGAAGCGGAAAGTGACTGTTCTGTTGAGCGGGTCAATGTGGAAGCCGAGTAGATGGTCGTCGTCTACTGGCTCTATTTCAACCGGCTGTTCGTAAAAATCGGGGTGGGCCAATGTTGTAATGGGTAGTGCTTGTCTGAATTGTTCGTTAAGCATGATGTAGCGGTTGTCGACATAGCGTGTATTGAAAAGGTGTAGGCTGGGTTGTTGAAGAAAATCTTGGTATGTGGTTTGCCACGTGTGTTCAATGAGGGTGATGGCAACGTTGCATAAAGCTGGGGAGAGTTGGCTGCCAATGCCCGCACCTTGGATCTGTTTGTAGTATGAGTTGCAGGCTTGGAAAATGCATGATTGAAGTGCATGTTGAACTATGAGAGGGATGTGCTGTGTGTTGATGGTGCGTTGCTGTGGATGGTGGATGTAGTGCCTGCCAATGTGGGAGTGTTGAATGGGATTGCCAGTGGATTGGACATCAATGGTGAGGGTGGTGGTATTGTGTTGGATTCGCCAGCGAGTGCAGAGGCTCATGACTGCTTCAACCGATCGTTGCTGCGGTACGCTGTTGAAGAAGCCGACGAGGTCATCGTTGATGGCGGTGAGATGGATGTCTGCTGGTGTGTCGTGGAAGTGGGTGTGGAGGTGTTGCCATAGGTTGGGGATGGAAAGTTGGCCTGGATGTTGAGGTAGAAGACGTAAGAGCATGATGTCTAATGCTTTGGAGGTGGCTTGCAAGAGTGTGCCAGCGATGGATCGGAAATAACTGTAACTGATGACTGGTCGACCTTTTCTCCAAGATTTCTTTTAGGAAGACGACTCCGTGAGGTGTGTAGAAATGCTTGCGGAAGCCCCATGGGTAGGCTCGTCGAATGCTGGTGGGGAAAGATTGGGTGAGCGTGTCGTGAAGCTGTTGTGCGGTGAGTTGGGGAAGTGGTAGAAAAAGCTGTGGTGTATTCCAAGTCGTGAGGCAGCCGTGGAAATAGTGCTGAGGGCAAAACAGGCGAAGGTTCTGCAGTTCGTGGTCGTCGTGATGTAAAACGAGTTTGTCTGTGAGAAATTGCTGCAGTTGTGTGACATTCCGTGAGGTGAATCGAGGTGTGTGGTGGATGTGGTCGATGTGGTGCTTCCATTGTTGTTGAAGGAAAGGTTCGCTGTGTTGGTGTAACGATGTGGGTAGGCCGTGGTGTCGGAGCCACTGTGTGAGATGGTGGTGAAATTGGTGAAAATATTGTGTTTTTGTGGGGAAGAAAGTACTGTTCATGTTCGCTTGTAGAAACAGTTGGAGATGGCTCGGGAGTTGAAGGTCGTCCAAGGTCAGGACAGGCCGTCGTGCATTGTAGGTGTGAGATCGGGGCGGAGCAGTGTGTGCATGTGGGAACAGCTGCAGGGCATGTCGGTGGCTGAAGGATTGGCTGAGAAGAGTTCTTCCCATTGCTTGTGATTATAAAGGCGTGACCGTAATGTCTTGTGTGCGGCTTCGCGAAGTTTTGTGGTGGGTGGATGAAAAGGGATGACGTGGTGCATGTGGTGTTGGATCAGGGTCCGGAGCCATTTTTCCGTAGTGGAAGAGAAGCTGCTGTGAGAGAGGAAGGGAACGGTGAGTGGTTTGTTAGCTTTGGGGCAAGTGAGATTGCGAAAGTTGAGCGCTGAGTGAATGAGGTGTAGTACTCGAGATCGATCCGGTTCCTCAAGACTTGCTGCCATGCGGCGAAAGGCATAGATTTCTAAGTCGGAGTATTTGCCGCTGCGAATGGCTGTGGCTGTTTCAAAGGAGGATCGTGTGTGTTTGCTAAGTTCTCGGAGAACCGTCAGGGCATGTAGGCGTTGGCTGGTGTGTAGGTTGGGTTGTTTGATGGTGTTTTGTCGGCGTCTCAATCGTTGGAAAAGGCTTTTGTGGGTGGACATGCGAGTGAAGGTAGTACGGTGTTTTGCAAATTGCCATCCTGATGCTTTGAGTTTGAGGTGACGTTGGATGTATGGCCAATTGAGTGTGGGTTGCCAATCTTGGATGTGGAGGTGTTCGTAGGTCCATGCTTGATCGTAAGTGTCGTGGTGGGAAAGGTAGATAGATAGTGCTGTAGTCATGGAGATTCTGTTTGGAGTGCCAATATCGGAGAGAAAGTTCTGCTGAGATTGGGTGGTTGTTTTGCAATTGTTTGAGTTTGGCGTGTCGGTTGTATTCTCGCTTGGGAATGCTAATGCTGGTGGAGCCGATGTAGGTGTGTCCGTGCTGGTGGTATTGATGCGCTGTCGGGTGTTGATTGGGCACAAATAACATCGTGTGGGAAATTGAGGTCCACGAGAGGCAGTAGGAGGGGTCCAAGCTAGAATCCGGAAGGAAAACCGAATTAATAGGGTGTACTGACACAAAAAGGAACATGCTCGTGGAACAGTGTAAAATGGGACTTGCCCGTGAAACTGTGTAGAAAACTGGCTGAAAACTGGCTGAAGTGGATGTTTTGACTGTGATAGCCGGTTGCCAGGTGCTGTACAAGTACAAAAACCGAGTGCCATAGGTCGTTTGACCAGCTTTGGCTGTAGCTCAGGGCGCTGAGACTGCAGTTGTCAAAGAAGCTGGTCATGGCGATCAGGAAGTCTTAGGGCGCCGATCCTTCGGCATCCCACCAGGGGCCTTCCGGTCCTATCCCTGCTTCGGGATGGTTTGGTCGAATATTGGTCTGTGGCGGCGTGTAATAGAAGTTGTGTGTGTTGGGTGATGGCTGGTAGATGTGAGGTGCCGCAGTAGGTGGTCCCACGGCTGTAAGGGTGGCGTGTCCCCGTAGTGGTATGTGGAGGTTGTAAACCTGATTGGGATCGCATTGTTGGGAGGAGGCGGTAGGTGAAGTAGAAGGGAACAGGTTGACTGGTCGTGGTGGGGGAATGCAACTGTTTGCTGAGCGGATGCAAGTGTAGGTTTGTTTTGGAGGTGGTGGGGCTGTGAGCTGCTGAAGTTGGGTGTGTGGAAAGTCAGGTGTCGTCGGTGGTGGGGCCGTGGTGGGTTGCGTTGAATCCTGTGGGTTGATGTTGGTGGTGGGGGGTTGTGTTGAGTGTGGCTGTGTGGTGGCTTGTGGAGCAGTGTAGGGGTGAATGAGATCAGCTTGTGGGGTGCTGGTGACTGGATCGTCTGCTGAATCGGGCAAGACAATGGGAGTGCCTTTGCCCTTGCCCTTGAGTTGCCGGGGAGATAATTGTCCAATGGCATCGATGTGCTCCAGGGCTGCGGTTAAGTCATCTGTAGCATGATCAACGAGAGCTCGGATCCCAAGAATTCGGTCCAGAAGTGGTTGCGGCAAATGTGGGTATGTGGTGTCATCGAAATACATGGTTTGTTGCAGGGAGTGCCGTTGTTCTCGGCTATGGTAAAGGCCTGTGCGAAGGCTGTGCTGCGAGGTGTAGATGCCGTACAAGTGGGCTGCGGGTGTGCCATGGGCCCATTGCCAGAAGGCTGCTTCCATCTCTGCTGGTACTGGAAATGTTGACACGAAATTGGTTTTGAATTGAAAATAGCTGAAGTAAAGTGTACAGCTGTAAAATAGACTCTTGGAAGGCGTTCTCCGCATCGATAGACAGGAATGACGATTGAAAAATTGAAAAAAGTAACTTGTAACTGGTACATCAGGATAAAGGAAGCAGGAAAAAGTTGGAACAAAGCTGGAACACAGTGGCGCTGCAAAAATCGGAGTCAAGTGTTTTCACACGAGAAAGGAATTGGTGAAACGCGCTGGGTGAAACCTCCTGATGCTGTTGATCGGAGTCGAGCAGTCGGCTGAATATATTTGTACTGTAACTGTGGTTTGTTGGTTGGTAGATGGAGTAGAAGTGGAATTGTGAAAGGTGATCAAATTGAGTAAGTGTGAGTCAATCGTGAGATTGTATTGTATTGAATTGAGTTGAAATGTATCGTAGGCCGCTCATGGCGCAGGATCTTCCTCTGCTGGTTGAGGAAATAGTAGGCGTTGTGGTGGTGGAAATGGTGGTTGTTTTGGTCGAATTGTACAAGATGAGTGCATCGGTCGTGTAGATGGTGACGCGGTGGGAGAAGTTTTGGTCGTGGTGTGATTGGTATTGG